TTTGCGAAGTTAAGGAACTCCTGGGTTTGTTAAATTAGAAAGAAAAAAGAAGAAAAGCAAGAGCTGCTCTTTATCTTAATCTGCATTTTCCACTAAATTAGTTTTTAATATGTTAAAGTAGCGGAAAAATGATGAATAATTATCATAGGGGACTTTACAGCAGTGAAGAGAAGAATCAGCGAATAGTAGTTCTAGCGAAACAAAGCGGAAACTGCTGTTTTTGTTTATGCGTATATTTAGTACGGAGAAGCTTGATTAATTGCCACTTCCATCACGTACTGCGACTCTTCTTGGATATCTTTGTTTCATTGGCTTCTGAGGCTCATCAGAAATCTCTAGTTGTTGTTGTTGTTCTTGCTGAAAATTGTTGAAAAGTGAAATTTTCTGTAAAGTTGGCGCGCTTCCTTTACGAATTTCTATATGCCATTACCGGCTTGCAGTTTCAAAAAATACAATATATGGTAAAACAATGGGATAAAAAATGAGAAATGAGTTTTGCCGAAGCAATAAAAAAAAGAAGGGAACCCGCTAATCTTTCCAACTTATCGCAGAAACTTTTTTAATCTTATATCGGTTGCAACTTGCAAGTTACCAGTATGTGTTCAGATCTATCAATAGCAACAGAAACAAAAAAAAAATTGTTGGCAGTTAGTGTAGTTACTGAGCATATGATCTTGAAGAAAGAACGCCGACAAAACGTAAAACATATTAATTTTAATACACTATCGGAGAGAATCTTTCAGACATCAAGGTGAAATTCAAAAATTATCTTCTGCTTTATATTAGTCTTAATAGCTCTTTATGACGATATCCGAAGATAGGTTTAAAAAGTGTTTGATCGTCCTGATTCGCCTGCAAAAAAAAACAGCTTCTTTAAAAGCCTTCCAGAAATAGATTCTAAGAATAGAATAGCAAAAGCGATAAAGAAAATGCTATAGACTAATCGACGCACTGACATCTAAAAAACATTAACTTCTTTTTTTAAATGTACGACTTCATTTATTTAGCTAACATTTTCTACTTAGAAATTTTTTGAAAATATTAAGAACTAAAAGTTTTTTTCGGTATTTATAAACGCTAACCAACTTTCATCATTTTTATACATTATTTCATTCAAATTATCTGCTGTTTCGAGAGTACTCCGAAGCTGAACCAACTAAGAAATCAGTAGAGAAGGGGAGACTGTCAGTGTCGACTCAGGTGTTATAAAAAGTGATTTGAAAAGCTGATAATTCTCAAGTTCTAATTTAATTTTTTAGGTATAGTGGAGCGAAGGTGATTACCATTTGAAAACCTTAGAAAAAATTGATTTGGAAATTTAAAGCATTTTTTGTCTATAAATGGTTTCAGTAAGCAAAAGCTCTCAACTCAAGCACTGTAGAAGCTGCTGGTTCAAAAAAATCAAATAATAATTTTGATTTTGCCATCTGAGGTCTAATGCAACGGTAACTATCAGGGTAAACGTTTGGTAGGTTATAGTAAGTGCAGTTCAAACAAATTATGAACGCTGCAGTCCGTAGGTGTTTTATGCATGCCTCTATTTTGACAGATTCGTTTTAGGCATTGTTTTGCAAGCACTGACACATTTTCACCTTTAATCATCTATCTTGCCTGTTTTTCTTGAACTATTTGCCATTGTCACCATCTTCACACGAGGAACCTCAGAAGTTCGTGCAAATCTATAACTTAGAATCTCTATTGTTGCTAAGATAAAACATTCGCAGAACTCTTACCAGTTCCCACGAGCACCACACCTTCTAGGTTTTTGCTTTTTGATCGTGAAAAAAAAAAA